CAGGATGCCATCTCTGCGTCCATGGCTGTCTGCCACTGAGAGGAGTACTCACCCGCAATCGCCTCAGCGTAAGAGCACGGGGTCGGGATGTCTGGTGCATCCGGGTCTCCCTCAGGGGCAAGCAGCATGGCCACGAGATGAGGCGCAGTGGCTGCAAGACACTCAAGGTCCTCGTGCCTGTCCTCAAGGACGTCCGTGCTAAGAGCACACTCACCCCCGACGGACGGAGGTCAGACAGACTCAGACTCAGCAACAAGACTAACGGCGTATTCGAGACGTCAGGCAGCAGCAAAGTCAACAAGCTCAGCGACCAAGGCAGACACAGCAGTAGACTCAAACGACGGGTCAGTGACAACAGTGGCTAACAGACGCATGACAGTAGGGTGTGCAGCACGAAACTCGTCAGACTCAGGGTCCGCAACGTCAGGCAGAGAGGACGTAGGGGGGGAAGGTAGAGGAGTACGCTGTGGAGCAGAGGAAGGACGAAGGGCAACAAGACGCGTGCCGGAGACAGCCGGTTGACGCTGACGAGGAACACGACGAACGGTACGACGAGGACGAACAGGCGAGACAGGACGCGACGCAGGCTCACGACGCTCAGTAAGACCTCCATGTCTGCTCAGTGTAAGGAGAAGGAGCAGGCAGCGGTGAGCCAGACTGTAACTGTAGACCAGTAGAAGACGGGAGGTCAAGAACCTGGCGAAGGGCAGAGCCAGACGGTGGCTGAGACGACGGAGACGGTGGAGCGAAGAAAAGTCGAGTCGGTGCAGTGCTACCAGCACCAGCAGCTCCAGCACCTCCAGCAGCTCCAGTACCCCCAGCAGCGCCAGAACCTCCAGCGCCAGCACCTCCAGGACCAGCTCCACCAGCAGCAGCACCCCCAAAACCAGCACCTCCAGTCCCAGGGTCTCCAGCCTCAGTATCTCCAGCAGCAGCACCCGTAGAACCGGCAGCCCCATTCCCAGGGTCTCCAGCCTCAGTGTCTCCAGTAGCAACACCTCTAGACGCAGCACCTCCAGCCCCAGCAGCTCCAGTACCTCCAGTACGAGCACCTCCGGGACCAGCGACTCCAGCACCTCCAGTAGACAAAGTACCAGCACCACTCCCAGCTCCAATGACGACCGCAGAAGTACCGCCACGAGCGCCAGCAGCGCGACCCTGACGGCGACCGTACCAGTCGTGCAGCTGCTGGGAGGTGAGAGGTGTACGCGGACGTAGGCGGCTACTCCAAGGGGACCGCGCAGCAGTAGGCGCAGTGCCCTCAGGCGCCGCACCGTCAGAACCAGCACCCCTAGGCCCCTCACGTGCAGGCTCAGTACCCTCACACGCAGTACCCTCAGGCGCAGTACCTCTAGGCTCCTCACGCGCAGGCTCAGTACCCTCAGACTCGGCACCCCCAAGCTCAGCACCTCCAGGCTCCTCCCGCTCAAGCACAGCACCCCCAGACTCCGCACCCCCAGGCTCAGCATGTTAACAGAACTAGGCAAGAATGATTGAAAGGAGAGGGGTTGAACTAGCAGGCAGTTGAGTACAAATAGCAAACCCTAGATTGGGCTGTACTCGCTATAGAGTACCCCACTGCAGGCTAGACAATAATAGCATTCTGACACACCCCCATAGCCAAAGTGGGGTGTAATCAGCAGAGCAAGCAAAGCAGTACAAGCCCAGGGTGGATCACAATGTCACCACACATTCTGAGCACAAGTTCAAGAAGCAATAGTTTAAAGTTCACAGTTATGAGCAAAGCTAGAGGCAGTCACAGAGGGCAAGCGAGGAGGAGGAGGGCTGGCGAGAGGAGAGAAGATGAAAGGCGCCGACTGAAGCTGCAGACACACGGGCAACAGGAGCGGCGCGCACAGTGGCTACCGAGCGCACGAGGGCACCGGACTACGGGAGTATCTGGCTCCGCGGCTACGACGAGCACACACAGGAGCAACGGACCCACAGGCGACTGGCGAAGCAGGCTCGCTGGGCTACCGAAACGCGCGAGGGCATCCGGACTACTGGCGCTGCTGGCGTCACGACGGCTACCTCCACGCAATCTCCCCCGACCGTCCCACGCCCCTCTCACACACCCCCTGCTGACACCCTAGCTCCACTCCGACGGTACCCCCCTTAAACCCCAAACCCTAGGCTCCCACACACCACCCCCCTCAGCGGCAGCTGTAGCAGAGGGAGACGAGGGAGGAGGAGGAGCAGGGGGAGGAACTCACAACCGACACCCCCATAGCCGCCACCCCCACACTCTTCACCCCCAAACCCTAATTTAGGAGAACGGGCTGTAGGAGGGGTGAGGCGCCGGTAGAAGCACGGGGGACAGTGGAGAGGGCAGGAGCAGCGAGGAACGGGCCGCCCACGGGCCTGGTAGAGCCGCCCGAACCGCGCGCAGGCGGCCCGAGCCGCGCGCGGGCCTGGCGCTTCCCGTACGGGCCGCGCGCGTGCCTGGCGCAGCCCGTACGGGCCGCGCGCGGGCCTGGCGCAGCCCGTACGGGCCGCGCGCGGGCCTGGCGCAGCCCGTACGGGCCGCGCGCAGGCCTGGCGCAGCCCGTACGGGCCGCGTGCCGGGTGTACGGGCCGCGCGCAGGCCACGACGGGCGACGGGGGGCGACGCGCGGGTCCCCGTCGCCCGTCGCAGCGCCTCCCGGGGGCGACGTGCCGAGTGACGGGGCAGGAACCCGCCGCGCGCCTCGGGGCACACGGCGGGCAGAGAACCGCCGCGCGCCTCGGGGCGCACGGCGGGCAGAAAACCGCCGCGTGCCTCGGGGCGCACGGCGGGCTGAAAACCCTAGTTTCGACGCCGCGCGCCACGGGGCGCGCGGCGGACAGGGAGTAGCAGTAGCAGCGGAAGGCTTAGGTGGTGGGCCCACCCACAGGATCGACCCAGGAGGGTCGACCTGCTCTGATAGCATGTTAACAGAACTAGGCAAGAATGATTGAAAGGAGAGGGGTTGAACTAGCAGGCAGTTGAGTACAAATAGCAAACCCTAGATTGGGCTGTACTCGCTATAGAGTACCCCACTGCAGGCTAGACAATAATAGCATTCTGACACAGCACCCCCAGGCTCCTCACCCCCAGGTCCAGCACCCCCAGAGACAGCACCCTGAGCAGGACCACCCCCAGCAGGACCTGAGTCACCAGTGACCTCAACAGGCGCAGGCACGGGAGGGTCTACCTGAGAAACACCTGAAGGAGCAGGACCTGGCGCGGGGAGGGGGTCTACCTGGGGAGGACCTGAAGTGAGAAAGAGCGGCGGGGGAGGGGCGAGGGGCAGTGTGGTAGGGAAAGAGACGGTAAAAGGGGACTGACTCGTCAAAAGTGACGTCCTGAGACGCAAAGACACGGCGCGAGGCGGGGTCGTAAAACTGCCAGCCAGGCGCGTCAGGAGGAAAACCAAGGAAGACGCAGGGAATGGCGCGAGCAGAGAGCTTGTCCGCGGTGGTATCGCGGACAAAGGCACGAGCACCCCAGACTCTGAAATGCGACGCATTGCCAACATTCCCCGTCCACAGCAGTGTGGGCGAGGTCTCCGGCAAGGAGACATGGGACTAGAGGTTGAGCTGATGTGCGGCGTACCGGACCGCAAACGGCCATAGAAAATGGGGAGCCGCTGCATGGATCATGGAGGTACGAGCGACCTCCATGACTAGGCCAATGCGGCGCTCAGCAACCCCATTCTGCTGGGGAGAGGCCGGAAGCGTGAACGACTGGCGGATGCCGTGCTCCGCACAGAAGGCTGCCAAGAGGTCGGAGGAGAACTCACCACCTCTGTCAGAGTGCAGGCGCAGGACAGGAAAGTCCGACTCGAACCGCTCGCGGAGCTGGAGACGCACAGCGCGGATCCAGGGGATCAGGACAGCAGGGACATCCGCCTTGCATCGCAATGGGAAGACCGTGGTGTAACGCGTGTAGTCGTCGACAACCAGCAGGAAGTACCGCTCGCGGCCCTGACCCTGGACGACGCGCTGCCGCCCCTCGACGCAAGGAACGCAGGGCGGGGCAGGCGAGGGAGAGAGGGCAGGCAGAGACCTGGGAAGACCAGAGACCAGGGAGCGAGAGTGCATGCTACGAAGGCGAGGCAGGGAGGGGTGACCAAGGCGGTGGTGCCACAGGAGAGTGTCGTGCGACAGGCGGCGACACTCACACTGGGTAGCTACCTGAGCAGACGCGTACAGCTGTGGAGACAAAGGAGTGTAGCGTGAAACAGTGGTGAGGGTGTACAGACTGGACCCAGGCTCACGAGTGAACGTGGCCAGGTGGCGGCCAGTCTTGGAGCACGTGAGGATCGCCACACGCTGTCCTCTTAGAGTCCTGGTGTCAACCCAGTTGTCCTGAAGGACGGCGTTGCTCACCAGGTTCGTAGAGAACGAGGGGATGTGGAGACCTGACAGCTCACCAGACGGGACCGCCGGGCACGGAAGCACAGTCGTGGCTCGTGCAAGCACTGGGCCCCCAGAGGGGTCAGCCAGTGAGACAGGGACAGGTGCAGGGAGGGGAGTGACTGTGGTGCTGTCGCGAAAGAAACAGCGGGAAGCACCAGAGTCAAGTGTAAACGTGTGCAAGGCCTGAGCCGACGCAGTACCAGGGGGAGCAGACTCACTAGCACCTAGGGCTTTAGCTCCTATACCTGGATCAGGCGGCATACACAAGTAGCAGTCACCCTCAGCACTAACAGTCAATGCATACATGGCAGCAAGAATAGCATCATAGTCAAGATCAAAGATAGGAACACCACGCCTAATAAGATCTGCCCAGTTGGGCAACTCAGTTGCCGTAAGAAACTTGACGCGCCAAGCATGACTAAGCCTAGCAAAGCAGCGATACTCAGTGTGCGGACCATTGCAGGGCGGCCAGCGCGAGGACCTCCTCGAATGATGTAGGTGCAGGGAACAGAACCCCCAGACTCCCCACACCCGGCATACCAGTCATGGAGCTGCTGGGACGAGAGGGGGGCCTGGTGCTGCCGCTGCTGCTGCTGCTGCTGCTGCGGCTGCTGCTGCTGCTACTGCTGCTGCTGTCCCTTGCCACCGCTGCTGCCACCACTACCGGCTCCTCCCCCACCACCGCCGGTGCCACCGCCACTGCTCCCGGTACCACCACCACTCCCACCACCTCCACCACCGCCTCTAACACCCCCACCTCCTCCACCTCGCCCGCCACCACCACCACCGACCCCTCCACCGCCACCCCCACCACCCCTGCCAACCCCCCTGGCCCGTGCGCTGCCGCGCTTCCTACTAGGAGCGGAAGCAGCCCCGACCTCCTCAGCACCAAGGAAGTCGACAGCAGCAGCAGCAGAGGCGTAGGAGGGGTAAGGGGGGAGGGGGAGCACCCCTCAAAGAGGGGAGTGCGAGGGGCGCCACGAGCCGCACCCACAGCAAGGATGTTCTTCTCAGCTGCGAGAAGCTGCGTCGCAAAATCGTCGACGGTGAGCGGTGAGTCTAGAGCGAGGAAGTGGTCCCTGACCGAGCGAAGGGTGTCAGGGAGCCGGGTGACAAGGAAGTAGAGTGTAAAGTACATCGGAGGGGTGTTCTTGGCGAGAAACTAGTCCTTAAGGGCGGACCGAAAGCGAGCGTCACTAGCGCGCAGGTTAGCAATGAGGTCCTCAGCAGTGTGAAAGGAGGACAGGTCGGGGAACAGGTAGGGTAGCATGAGACGACCTAGGGCTGCAGTGGCCGGGGAGGAGTAGCGCGCAACTAGAGCATCATACAGTGCCTTAGCAGTCTTGTGCTGGCTAAAATGCGCGCGCTCGGGGATCGGCAGGTGATTGCGAATAGCGAGGCGTGCAGCAGCATCGCGAGTCTGCCACTGTGAGCGGTCGAGCGCACAAGCATCAGTAGCAGGTTCAGGGGCAGTGCCAGACGCGTGAGCAAACAGGGAAATGCCGTCTTTGGCATCCGTCATAAGAAACAGTTGGAGATCGTCGAGACACACTGTGAACTCGATCGAGCTACCGTCAGGCTCAAACGCGAGAATATGAGGCGTCGTCATAGTCGCAGTGCAGAGAAATGCAGCAGGAACCGGCAGTAGGCACAGGCAGCAGACTTAGGCGGCAGGCAGGCGCGCAAGTTAGGAAGGCGCACTCAAGGCAGGCAGACACAAGGCAGGCAGGCGTTCAAGGCAGCAGGCGCTAAAGGCAGGCAGACGCTCAAGGCAGGCAGGCGCTTAAGGCAGGAAGGCGTAAAAGGTAGGCAGGAAGGCAGGCGGTAGAGGCGCGGCGCGAGCAGGTAAGGCGGCACGCAGAGCAGCGGCGGGCCGCGTGCAGGCTGGCGGGGCGCGGCGTGAGCTGCGCGGGCAGTGCGCGGGGTGCTCGCGGGCTGCGCGGGCTGCGCACGGGCTGCGCGGGCTGTGCGGGCTCGGTGCGGGCTGCGCGGGCTCGGCGCGGGCTGCGCGGGCTCGGTGCGGGCTGCGCGGGCTCGGCGCGGGCTACGCGGACGGTGCGCGGGGCAGTTGCGGGCCGCACGCGGGCTGCGCGTGCTCAGGGCGAGCTGCGCGGGCGACGTGCGGGGCGCGACGCGGCTGGCAGCAGCAGTGCGCGCTAAAAAAAAAAATACGTGCGCGCGCTGCCGAGGCGCGCGCGGGCAGCAGGCAAGACAAACAGGCGGGCAAGGCTGGCAGGCAGGTAAGGTCGTAGGTGAGGTAACACGGTAACGGGTGGGCCCGAACTTAGGTCCTAAAAACCTACTGCTCTAGATTGTGAAGAATGAGGAATGATTGACCTAGGAACATTGGGAGTACAAGTAAGAAACCCTAGATTATTGTACCCCCTAAAGGCTAACCCACTGTAGCCTACACAGCAATAACACATGTATAATGTTTGACACACCCCCATAGGCAAAGTGGGGGAGAACAAGGGGTCACAAGACCAGTCAAGCAAAGCAAAGCAAAGCCCAGGGTGGATCACAACGTCACCACACATTCCGAGCACAGGTTCAAAGGCCACAAGGCCAGTTCACATGCAGGATTATATATAAATGCAGACAAGCAAAAGCAGATATATATATATATATATATATATCACAGTACAAGTCAAGAGGTAAGCAAGTCAGGCCAAGTAGGCACAAGACCTAACATAGTACAGAAGCGCTGATGATCACAAGGCTGAAGTGCCTTGGTGAAGATATCAGCAGTGTTGGCCCGAGAGGCCACGTAAGCAAGGCGCAGCTGACCACGCTGCTGCAGCTCACGAGCAAGGAAGTAGCGGAGAGCAAGCAGGTATATATATAGATCACAGTACAAGCAAAGTTACGAAGTGAGCAAGTGAAACGAAATAGGCACAAGGCCTAACATAGTACACAGGCGCTGATGATCACCAGACGAAAGTGCCTTGGTGAATATATCAGCAGTGTTGGCCCAAGTGGCCACGTGAGTAAGACAAAGCTGCCCACGCTGCTGCAACTCTCGAGCCAGGAAGTAACGCAGAGCAATGTGCTTCGTTCTGTGCTCCTGTCTGTGCTCTCCCAGGTCAGTCAGCAGATAGGTGAGCCAGCGTAACTCCTGTGCAGCCATGGCTCCTGCGTAGATCTCAGCCTCACAGCTGGAGCTGAGAACAGACGACGAGCGGGTAGACCGCCACGAAACAGAGCTGGAACCAAGGCTGAAGGTGTAACCCTGTGACGATCGCTGCGTAGCCAGGTCGTCAAACCAAGACGCGTCTGCGTGACCAGTGAGGACCACTGGACTCCGCCCTCCAAGCACTAGCCCCATGCCCGACGTACTGCACAAGTAGCGCAACACCCTCTTCGCTGCAGCCATGTGCTCTGGTCTATGTACCCAGGAGCAACATAGCGTGCCAAGATGCTAAGAGGGTATGCAAGGTCAGGTCGTGTGCAGGTCATCAGGTACATGAGGCAGCCGACTAGCTCTGGGTACGGGCCACTCGGCTCTACGGACTCATCCGAAGGCAGAGCTGAGAGCGAGTGGCGAGTAGACAGAGGAGTGGCCTGAGGCGAGGAGTACGTGAAGTCGAAGCGCTGAAGGACCTGTTGCACCATGTGTGACTGAGACAGTGTAATGGTGCGTCGTGCTCTGTCCCGGGTGATCTGCAAGCCGAGGTAGCTACGCACTTCACCCAGGTCTGTGCACGTGTGTCGCTTCTGCAGCTCGGACTTCACGTGGGCGAGTCCAGCAGTGTCAGCTGTAGCGAAGACCAAGTCGTCGATGTACACGAGGATGTAGAACGGCGGCAAAGAGGTGTCGGTGCGTAGAAACAGCGATGGGTCAGCAGTAGAAGGAGCAAACCCAAGAGCTGCAAGTGTCGTCCTCAGTGTGTCGTGCCACTCACGGGGCGCCTGGCGGAGACCGTAGACTGGCCGCCGGAGGCTCCACTGGGTACCAGGAGGGAAAGACCCAGTGAAGCCAGGTGGGCGACGCAGCCAGATCTCCTCGTGCAGACTACCCTGCAAGAAAGCAGTGCTGAAGTCAAGGGAGTGAAGCTCGTAGTCACGCTGAGCGGCAACGTGCAGCAGCACCCGAAGAGTGGTCATCTTCGGGGTGGGAGAGAAGGTCTGAAAGTAGTCAACTCCCTGCCGCTGACTGAAGCCTCGAGCCACGTAACGCGCCTTGAAGACAGGCGGAGAACCCGGCGGCCGCTTCACCCTGAAAATCCACATGCCACTGACGATGTTCGCCCCAGGTGGGGGAACCTCGTCTACGTAGGTGCCTATGGACTTCCAGGAAGCCATCTCTGCGTCCATGGCTGCCTGCCACTGAGAGGAGTAGGGACCCTCTATCGCCTCTGCGTAAGAGCGCGGAGTCGGGATGTCTAGTGCATCCGGGTCTCCCTCAGGGGTAAGCAGCATGGCCACAAGACGAGATAAAGCAGCAGCAAGACACTGGAACTCCTCCTGTCTGTCCTCGAGGACGTCCGTGCTAAGAGCACACTCACCCCCGACGGACGGAGGACAGACAGACTCAGACTCAGCAACAAGACTAGCGGCGTAGTCTAGACGACAGGCAGCAGCAAAGTCAACAAGCTCAGCAACCAAGGCAGACACAGAAGTGGACTCAAACGACGGGTCAGTGACAACAGTGGCTAACAGACGCGTGACAGTAGGGTGCTCAGCACGAAACTGGTCAGACTCAGGGTCCGGAACGGCAGGCAGAGAGGACGCAGGGGGAGACGGCAGAGGAACAGGCTGCGGAGCAGAGGAAGGACGACGGACTACAAGGTGCGCGCTGGGGACAGTCAGCTGACGCGTACGAGAAACACGACGACCGGTACGACCAGAACGAACAGGCGAGACAGGACGCGACGCAGGCTCACGATGCTCAGCAAGACTACCTGTCTGCTCAGTGAGCAGGCAGCGGCGAGCCAGGCTGTAACGGAAGACCAGTAGACGACGGGAGAGTAACAACCTGACGAAGAGCAGAGTCAGGCGGCGGCAGAGACGACGGAGATGGCGGAGCGAAGAACAGTCGTGTCGGTGCAGCTGCACCAGCACCAGCAGCTCCAGCAGCTCCAGTACCTCCAGTAGCTCCAGCGCCGGCAGCCGCCCCAGCACCTCCAGCAGCTCCAGAAGCTCCAGCCTCAGAACCGGTACCTCCAGCGCCAGCACCTCCAGACCCAGCGGCACCAGTAGCAGCACCCCCAGAACCGGCACCTCCAGCCCCAGGGTCTCCAACCGCAGTGTCTCCCGCAGTAGCACCCCCAGAACCAGCACCTCCAGTCCCAGGGTCTCCAGCCTCAGCGTCTCCAGCAGCAGCACCCCCAGACGCAGCACCCCCAGCCCCAGCAGCTCCAGTACCTCCAGTACGAGCACCTCCGGGACCAGCAACTCCAGCACCTCCAGTAGACAAAGTACCAGCACCACTCCTAGCTCCAGGGACGTCAGCAGAAGTACCTCCAGTAGCAGAGCCCCGGGCTCCAGCAGCGCGACCCTGACGGCGACCGTACCAGTCGTGCAGCTGCTGTGGGGTGAGAGGCACACGCGGACGAAGGCGGCCACTCCAAGTAGGCCGCGCACCAGCAGTCCCAGTACCCTCAAGCGTCTCACCTCCAGACTCAGTACTCCCAGACTCCGCACACATAGGCTCAGCACCCCCAGACACAGCACCCCCAGGCGCAGGACCTCCAGTCTCCTCACGCGCAGGCTCAGCACCCCCAGACTCCGCACCCCCAGGAGCACCGTCCCCAACAACACCAGAGTCAACAGGAACCGGCTGCAGAGGCGGCGAAGAAGGTCGCGGAGGGAACCCCGGAGGGGTCTCCAAGCGTGGTGCGCGGCGGTAGGCCGCTGGAGCGTCAGCAGCAACGTCACCCCCCTCAGGTGTGCCAGAGGTGTCGGAAGTGACCTCCAAAGGCTCAGCCAAGGGGGGGGGGTCTACCTGAGACACACCTGAAGGAGCAGGACCCTGAGGGGGGAGGGGGGGGGGGGACCTGGCGCAAGGAAGAGCGGCGGGGGAGGGAGGGGGGCAGTGCGGTAGGGGAAGAGACAATAGTACGGAACCGACTCGTCAAACGTGACGTCTTGGGAGGACAGAACACGGCGCGAGGTGGGGTGGTAAAACTGCCAACCAGGCGCGTCAGGGAGGAAGCCAAGGAAGACGCAGGGAACAGCACGGGAGGACAGCTTGTCCGCAGACAAGTCTCGGACAAAAGCCCGAGATCCCCAGACACGGAACGCAGACGCATCGCCAACCTTCCCCGTCCACCGGAGGGTGGGGAAGCTCTCCGGCATGGAGACCCGGGGCTGAAGGTTGATCTGATGCGCCGCGTACTGAACCGCAAACGGCCATAGAAAATGGGGGGCAGCCGCATGGATCATGGACGTACGAGCGACGTCCATGACCATGCCAATGCGGCGCTCAGCAATCCCATTTTGCTGTGGAGAGGCCGGAAGCGTGAACGTCTGGCGGATGCCCCTCGCACGACAGAAGGCTCGCAGAGGGCCGGAGGAAAACTC